CTCTCTCTCTCTCTCTCTCCGCGGCTGGCCTCATGGTACTGCGCCCTCCATAGGATGAGCAAAATCGAATGAATCTGGCGCTATAGCGTGGGAATATACACTGCCATACTTTTTTTCGTTTTTTTTTGTCGTTTTTTTTTTTCCGTTTTTTTTTTGTTTTTTTTCCCCTTTTTTTCGTTCTTTCACTCCGACGTTCGGGATGCCTGCGCCCGGTAGTCCGAGGCTCGGCACGGGTCGGTGTACCGGTCGGCCGAGGCTCGGACTCGATAGCTGGGCCAGGTACTGGTGGTTTAAATCCCATCAGATCAGGTGATTCTAAAGCAGTGATCCGGATTCAGGCGGCGACACAAACACATCACCTCGCTTCTTTTATTTTCTTTCCCTCTCTTTCTCTTTTGAACCTTTGCAACCACCGCATTTGTCCCATAACTCGACTTAAGGGAACTCGGTGCACGGTAGAAAAGACCGCGCCGGTCCCTCTACTTCCGCGTGCCTGGGCGAGCCCAGCAGCTACCACGGCCACAGGCAGGTAGTGCTCTACTATACAGCGGGGCGCCGAGCCTGCGTGGACCAATGGAAAGTCCAGCGGTGCACCCCCACCTTTTGCCGTGGAAGCGTTGACTGGACCTGTCCTGCGGTAGAGTGCTACCCAAGCTAACCTGGAAGGGCACGGGAGTTGATGAGCTGGCGTACGGTACACAGTGGAGGTTCATGAGCAGACATTTGGTACGCGGCGGAAGTAAGTGAGCAGGCGTCCGGTACGCAGTGAAGGTAAGTGAGCAGGCGACCGGTACGCAGCGGAGGGTCGGGTCACCTCACCCTCCGCCACCGTGCACGGAGGTGGCAGGGCATAAGATATGTTATGGCGAGCGCCCAGTCACACCCTGCAAACGAGAGCACTCTCTCTCTCTCTCTCTCTCTCTCTCTCTCTCTCTCTCTCTCTCTCTCTCTCTCTTGCTCTCTCTCTCTCTCTCACACACACACACACACGAGCCTGGGTGCGCACAAAACTCTGCACACTTTCCTACAGGCGCGTGAGAGCGCGCGAGCAGCTCTCTCTCTCTCTCACACACACACAACACACACATACACACTTGCACGCGACTGAGCTGCATAGCCATGCATGTTTTCACATGCACGCATATGTGCTTGCTTCTTCTCTCTCTCTCTCTCTCTCTCTCTCTCTCTCTCTCTCTCTCTCTCTCTCTCTCTCTCTCTCTCTCTCTCTCTCTC